TGTGTTTCTAATATATATTATAAACACATTAATATTGCATAATGTATATTATGCAACATGTAAAATAAAATATTAATACACGAGCTATTTGAATTTAATTAGGTAATTCACAAACGTCATAAAATATTTTATATTTTTTCTTTTTAATACTTTTCATTGCATTTATATGACTTTTACTGAGAACAAACGAATAATTTATTTCAGTGAGGCAGTATTCAAGATTATTATATGACTGTACCTTTGAAAAGGTAGCACCCACACATCGACGAAAATATTTCATCGATAAATTGCTCTCGGGAGTCCTCCAGGACCCCGTATGGCGAAACCATATGCTTTTAAAGTCCGTTTATGCTGGCTGAGAGATGACTCTTCCCGACATGCGACCCGCAGCCATCCCGGATACTTTATTCTCGATGTTTTATAGTGACTGCGAGAAAATTATGCTATTCCCGTGTCATAATCGTTGTCATTACATCTACACTTCATAGAAATAACAAAAGATGTACAAAAATATCGAGAGATTTAATTATTCATGCATTTCTCTTTGTGTGCAAACGAATGACTTATTTCGATATAGATTAACTTTTAATCTTAATTTAACTTATTTTTTCTAATTTTAAGAATTAGAAAAAGATAAAAAGCAAGTTAAATCAAAATTAAAATTAAAATTAATCTACATTATAGTAGAAATGAATCTTAGGCTTATTTTTACCAATGTAGATTAACTTTAATCTCGATTTAATTTATTCTTTATTTTTTTCTGATTCTTAGAACTAAAAGAAGAAAAAAATAAGTTAAACAGAGAGAAAACTAATCTTTAAATTTCTTGAAGTGAAACCTTATTCCAAAAGAGTCAAAATATTATCACTATTGATTTGCACTCTTAAATAAGAGTGAAAAATTTTTACTGTTTTGGAAGATTTACCTTCAAAAAAGAACTCTTATTTCTTTTTTGGAGTAAATCTCACTTCAAAAAAAAGAGTGAAAATCTGCCACTCTTATTTAAAAGTACAAATTTTTCACTCTTTTTCAATAGTGGCAGTATTTTAACTCTTTTGGAATGAGATTTCTCTTCAAGAAATTTAGAAAGTATATTAATAGAAATAAACAATAAATAATTTTATTAAACATTTTCAATGTGTTTTTATACATACAAGCAAATATCGAGTAGAAATTCGCACTGTTAAATAATGAAGGTATCGTATTATAAATAATATTCGGTGCGCAAATACTAACGGGGATACAAATGCAACGGATGCATGCGAGCGTGTTCGCCGATGAGTTAATCAGGATGCAACGTCATCGTTTAAAATGTCATATTTTCTCTCACTTCAAAGGGCGATATTTGCGCAAGTTCGGAACCGCGCACTTGGATATTAACTTCATAAATTGTGTTGCATCAATTTGAAATGTTCAATTTTTAGTTTTCCAAATTTTTGTTTTTTTTTCTCACGATGGTACGGTTACTTAATATAGATCGATTGTTACATTGATTGTATTATATTCAATTATATATTTTATAAATATAATTATATATTTTTTAATAATTTATAAATAAATATTAAAAGTACTAAAAATAGTAAAAATATATTAAAAGTAAGAAAAGAATAAATTAAAATTGAGATGTCCTAAAAAATCGATTATAACTATCTTATTTATGCATATTACGTTTAGTCCGTATTTTCAAAAAGTCAAAAATAAGACAAATTTATTCTCATGCTGAGTTGTTGACACTAGAATAATACAAAGAACTTGATTCTTTTTTTGAGCATATCTAAATTTTCATGTTTTAATGTATATAATCCGAGGAATTCAGCTACCAATATAAAATCGATGATTTATGACGCAGGTATAGAGAAATATGTCTCTTAATTTTCGTCTTATTTTTCGCTATTGCGAAATATCACATAAACTTACACGATTTCCGATATATTGAGCGTATACATTACAATCATTTCATGTTTTTTTTATTAATTTGATATCTTATACGAGCTCAAAATAATAAGGATAATTTTTTTCTTACCTTTCTCTCTTTACATGTAGATTGTTTTATTAATAATTTATATAATAATAATTTATGCTGTAAAATTTGCCGGGAGATTTTAGCAGAAAAATTTCACTTTGCTGTCTCGACCGACAGTTAAAAGTACGATATCAATAGTGGTCGACAGGAAGAGCTTGAGAACGTAGCATCTCGTTGAATGATATTTGCGGCACAGAGAAAAAGAAAAAGAGAGAGAAAGAGAAAGAGAGAAACATGGCGGAGGTTCCTCGTCGCCTTCGCGTAATTACGTCCAATTGAAGCAATTTAGATCAATTGAGCGTTAACAGGCTCAATTGGCGGGCTCCGACGCTGCGGGCAGCACTGTACGTTCGTCGTTAAACGCTACGACATACCTACGATGTAAAAAAAAATACGGATGACGTGTAGAAAAAAGAAGTCTACCGTTCAGAGGTCGAGCATTTGCGTCTCTCTGTCTGTTTCTCTCTATCTCTCTCGCATGCGCGTGTGTTTCCGACAAAGTTTCCTCTCATGATGAAGATTAGATTCGACCTCGCGTCTATATTTGCGAAATCTTATGTGATCCACAAGAATTCTGTACATGCACTTAGTAGTGTTATAATATTAATTAAAGGATATTTTATAACAGTATTAAGATTTGTCCAACCGTTAATTCTTATAACATCTTATTTATGTTAACTTTTTCTTAAATTACAATTGTAGTAAAATGTAATGTCAAATGATTTGGTCGAGCTCTAATTTTAATATTCCGGTTATTATTATTTTATTATTGTACAATAATCGAGATGTCTTTTGTAAAACCGGAGCATTTTATGAAATTATTATTAACTTATATACATGAAGTTTCATCCTTATACTAGGATTATATGCAATAAATATAAATATGTAATTGTTAAGATTAATTTATAGGAATAATATGTACAGAATAAATTATATTGTTTTTTATTTACCTATTATTAGGGTGCAAATACAATAGAAGAAATAAGGAATAAGGATTTCAACCTCTTAAAAACTGTATATTCTCTGGTGTATTCGATATTTTTAATACATTAAAATCATCATTTTTTATATTCCTTCTGTTGTGTCTGTACTCTTATTCTTAACAATTAGAATTGTAATTGTACCAATTGTAACAATTGTAATTGTTTATTTTAAATATTCTTCAAATTAATGATTTGATATATTAAATTTAAAAAGAAACGTATTTAATTAATACGTGATTGATGATTTGATGATGTCAATTGTTTAATAATATTAAATTAAGCAAAATATAAAAAAGATATAATTATATTGCATATAATTTATAGATATGTAGAAATATCTTCTTTTCGACTGTACTATTTTTTTTATTTTTGATAATAAAATTTTTATCTTTATGTGTTTATTATCATAATAAACATTTATTTTTTTCATTTATCACAGTTTGAACGTATGTCTCACAGAGTACAGCTAAAAAAAGAGTAGACTTTAGAATAATCTGTATATCATCTATATGTATAACAATATCTGCGCTACGTATCGAGGGTTGATTTGATGGAAGCTGTGATGCGAAGAGGTGGAACTGAAGAGGCCGCGCCATTTTACCCCTCTTCGCACGAAGTAGTGGGGCAACGACGTATCACACTTGTCTTCTTTTCTTATCTCTTTCCAGACTTCATCCAACCACATCGCAGATGGAGTGGGGAGCATTATGTGTCTTCTTCCTTGTGCAATGTATGTACTCCACGTTTTTGTTCTTTTCTCGCGCTCCATCTGTTTGTTTACATCGCCAATACAGTTATTTGCAAATCTTCAAACGAGTGATTTAAGCGATAAAAACGCACACTATCCATCTCTTTTTGATGGATAACCAAATTCGCGATATGAAAGTCTAAAAGCACATGCGAGTTGCAATATTTGCTACAAAGATACAAAAAAGATTCAAAATAATATTATTTCTTATAATTTATTTATTTTTTTTGTTAAGTTTTGTTCGATGTCTCGCAATTTTTCAACATGAATATTTGTGATCTGCGAATTATGACATTACATTATGAGAACAATATGGAGTCTCGTTCACTCTTGATCCAACGCGACGCGACGACTCGCATCCGGCGTGCGCACTTCCGGTACGCTGCGCAAAAAGCGCGGAAACACAATGGCGGAGAATCACACCGCGAATCCTTCTCGGATTTCTTCGATTCACCTTGATCACCTGGTTTATCCGGCAATGGGAACGAACGGCAAACGAATACGCGTTATTTATGTAGGTCATGTTTGTACCTCGCGAGGAGCAAGATGGCGGACGCGCGGATGCGAGAGAAAGTCACGGATACGGAGGGTCAGTGCAGGAGGCTGCGTTACACTGCAGTCCGGCGCTCACCGGACCTTCACTTATATCGTCGCTCGGCTAATAACGCTAGTAATGTGATATGATTAGCTTAGTTGAGTTCAGTTTAGTTCGTATTCGTTCAATTTAGTGGTTCGCCAGCAAAATCACATCGAGTTAAACCCATTTAGGCCAGTTAAGTTACCGACTTCTCCTCGTTCTCTTGCGGTCGCCGCCACCGCCACCACCGTCGTTGCCGCGCATCGACCTCCTGGGGCCTTCTTCGACGCACAGAAATATCCCGAAACATCCTAAAACATCCCGCATGAGATCTGGTCTCGTGCTCTGCCATAAAATTGAAAATTAAGCCGCCGCGGGAGGTCTCACCATTGAAACACCTTATTCACTAACAATGTCTCAGAAATTGATCTTAAAAGCTTAAGTACAATCTAGGAATAGAAGCCTTTTATAAGTATATCTAGTCTAGAAGAAGAATACTTTATATTTTACATATTTTATATCTAAAATTAATAACTCTAAGA